ATTCAATCAGATGATTTCAATTGAACTAGGCCTTAGACTGGCCAGCTGATGTGATTAATATTAGCTACCACACCACCAAATTGCTTCATATGTCACTACAGTGTTTTCTTTGTGTTGAACAAACGCAGCATACGCCACCCAGCTCTTAAAACTTTATCTGGAACTACATTTGCCTAAGCTCAACTTGAACTTCTCAATTTCAATGTTTTAAGATTAAACTATTAAATAATCTAAGCTATAAGAAACTAATAAGATGAAAAGATGTTTTGCTTTTAAATATCATTTGTTACTTAAATTACAATGTATATTTATATTGTTTGTTTTGTGACTTAAATCTTTGTGTTTGTCTTTAAAGAGAGATATTGCTTAGATGTTTCATTCAAAAATACAGAGCTCAAGGTTTGTGATAACATATTACTAAGAATTAACCCTAAAGCAAGATACATTCCAGATGATAAAACAATGTCTGTAAAGGACAATAATCCGTGATTCTATAATTTCACATTTCGGGTTGATTTTCTTGAATCATTTTAGTTTTAAGTAAAATATCCTATTTTTATACTTAAGCATTTTGTACTTCAATAATAATTTTTAAAGTTAAAACAATGAAGCTTAAAAGTTTAAAGTTAAAACAATGAAGTTTAAAACAGCTAACAAATATCTCATATTTGTAATGTTGATTTAGAAAATTTGTAATACTATGGCATGTCTTTTTACCTCATTTAAATAGAAAAATTTTATAATTGTTTTGTTTATATGTGAATGAAACACAAATATCTTTTGAAATTCCTTTATTATTTGTGATATGGTTTGGTTTTTTTTTTTTTTTTGAGATGGCGGTCTTGCTATGTTGCCCAGGCTGGTCTCAAACCCCTGGATTCAAGTGATCCTACCATCTTAGCCATCTGAGTCGCTGGGATTACAGGTGCCCCCACTTCACCTGACTCTGTGACATTGTTAATTTAAAGTCATTTGTTAAATAGGCTTTCATTCATAATTTTATAATTGAACTACTTGTTTATGGTTTTATTAGTCCTATTCAAGTTTAGAAATTTATTCAGTGCCTGTCAATACAGTGACCATACTGTGAGTGATTCATTAATATGAAAACTGAGTTACTGGACTCAATCGATGGAAGAGATAAGACAACTAAATCATTATCATGCAACCCTTAAAAATCCAGATGTGTGGAGCTCTGTCATGGTAACTCTGATGCCCACAGAATTCATTTCTTCTGAGCTTACAGGACTAATGGACTGCCCCACCCCCCACTTCCTATTAGTCTTCTGGTAAAGGGTAACCAAGTGATAACTTTCAACTCTTTGACTTGATCTAGATGTCAACCAACTACCTACAAGTACTTTTCTGACAGGACAGCTAGCTAGGCTTTTATAAAATGTGTCTATTCACAGGGAAATGAACAGATCACAGCTTGGGTAGTGCTAACAGTAAAGGGTAGGCAGGAGAATGTAATTAAGGCAATTGTTTTAAGTTAGAAATAGAAGCCCAAACAAAGCTATATTTAGTAGCAGTCCTGAAAACATTCTTCCCATCGAGGACATTACTGTTTTTACCAGACACAAAAATTAGATTAATACTGAGGTATAATCGGTGATGACAGAAAAACAAAGGCTTGGTTTGAAAAGAAAAAACAAAAAGTCCCTTAATAAGAAGAGAGCTGGAATGCAGTTTTAAGATCCTGTGTTCTACAGGCAAAGGTAAACAGGCTATACCTTGCTAAAACTGTAGCCGGGAGACACGGTCAAACACAAAACTTCTGAAGGCTCCTCAAGAGAGAGAGGCATTCACTAAAGTTATTTCATTCTCGTAAAGAGAATACATGTTTCCTATGATATAATCCATCTTCTGGCACATGGCTTTCCCTTCTATTCTCAAACTGAATTTGTTTATATTATTTCCCTTTGGAATAGACTACTCTGTTCAATAGAATTATGATGAGGGCCTCATGTTTTAAAATTTTTTAGTTGCTATTTTTAACAAGTGAAATTAATTTAAATAAGATATTTGATTTAGCCAATATATCAAAAAAATCCAAAATATTACCATTTTAACATATGATCATTATAAAAATCGTTAATGTGTAGTTTACACTATTTTTTTTTTATTACTCTCCAAAACCTGGTGTGTATTTTATAATTGCAGAACATCTCAATTTGGAGCAGCCACATAAGGCTCAGTAGCTCGCGGCTACTGTATCGGACAGCGCAGGCCCAGAGAGACTTTTTTCCTCAAAGACTTGATTCACATATTTTCTTCTTGAAATCTTTCCTCAGCATATTCTGAGAAAATATACAAACTCTTTTTACGTGTTAGTATTGGACAGCATGAAGCTGAGCTTCTATGAAGTCCTTGCATACTGTTTGCTTAATATAGCATTAATCATTATTTTAAGCAAAAAGAGCAGCTCTCAGTGGTCCAGCAATTTGAGTTCAGGTCTTCTAGCCAATACTTCTGCGTTATTCAATGTGTTTGGTGTACTATAAGCTGTTTCACTGGAGGATGTTTGGCTTAATTCCTCTAAAAGTTGAGGAACACACAGTAATAATCACATAATACAAAAATGTTCCAGAATATGGGATTATTCTACACTTACAGTCTGTTGAGTGAAAAGTTATGAAATAAGATAAAAGCTCAGTGTTTCAGTGATTTATTTTCTATTTCACGTATCATAATTGTCCCAATGACATTACTGATGGAGCAGCAATGATCCTCAGACATATCTGGAATCTATCTTGTGAGCAGCTGGCACTGGCACACCAGTGACGAGGATGAGGCAGTTACTCAGTGTATGCAGCACTACGTCATAAGGTGCTTTACGGGAGACACTGGGACAAACAGGTGTGAAGACACTAGTACATTCACACAAGATAACAAGCAAGAAAGCCGTGTGGCACACGGAGCAGATGCTGTGGTTGCCATGGGAAGTACTCACTTTTTCTGATCATTCTGCTTCTTTTTGGTTTTGCATGCCACTGATGCATAGCAGGGAAGAAGCCACGTGTGTACAGTGGAAAAAGTATATCCACTAATAAAACTGCATTTGACTGAGAAATCATTGTATCAGAGCCGTCACTGAATTAATTCTCTAATACTATCAACACAACAGGTGCATTAAATTTGATCAATCAGAACTCTGTTTTCTGTTTCATAAGCTGGCCAGTATGCAACAAGAATATGATTCATCCAGTAAAGCACTGTATCATCTCCATGCAGTAAACGGTAACTCATACCTCAGGAACAGTTAATGCGACACTAGACAGGGCTAAGAACTTGGTACAAACAAATGTTCTGAATATGAGAAAATGGAAATAATCACAATTTCTTTTCCAAATAAAAAATATTATTTTGCATTAAATTGTAAATGCAAGCTTAGGTTATAATGGTAATTTTGGACATGTGAAAAGGTTACTGGAATGTACATAGCAATGCTTGATTTTGTGAAAAAGGAATCTTGGGTACTGGGGCCTGGCCTAGATTGTGACGTTTTGAGATGACACGTCACAGTACAACTGTGTCAACTGCAGATTTGGTCAGGTCTTACCTACCGTTGTATGGCTCTGCCCTTCAGCAAGAACGTCCAGGAGTTCTCACCTCCCATAGCATTCACCTGAGAAAGTGTGGACTTAACATTTTGGATACGGGAATCTATAAAGGTCTAACTTTGATAGACAGGGGATCAGCATAAAACTGTATCTGTTTTCCCACAGATATTAAGTGAAATTGAGGAATTTCGTAAATATCAAGCAAATTTCTTTCCAACGATTACTATGTGTTACAGGGAAGAACCATCCGTCTTTTGGGATAAAACAACTGAAAACATGAAATTTATCCCAGAGTCCTGGGAATCTTTAATAACTTTAAAAATTATTTAATTTTGATGTTATATGTTATAATTTTTATAACGTACAACATAGTATTTAGAATAAAATAAAACCACATATGTTGGCAGCAGCTGGGGATGAGATCTGCTGATACTCTAAAAATAAGTTGCCATAATTTAGATTTGATATAAATGCCTTTCATGAGGACTGTCAATGGACATTTTTTGAATTCCAGGCATGTTCATATAATCGGAACTGAATCATATAATTGGAACTGAATGGAAAAAATGAAATGTTTAAAATAACAATCTAATCTAAATTATAAGATAAATGCAAGTAAAAATATTTTTCATTTGCAATTTTAAAACTGGTATTCCACAGAGTGGTGATGAGAACATTATACATATTTATGTAGATTTTACAGGGTGTTTCAAAAGTCCCCGAGGACATATAGGATTTACAGTCTCAACATCTTTGCATATAAATGCAGACTTTTTTTTCTATACTTTTTATAATAAATGCTGAAAATGGCTCTCATGTGCTTATAATAGAGATGACAATTTTGTTCTCAAGGTCACTGAGTATAAGAGGGGTCACAAATGCCATTTTCTGCATGGAGACTCAGGGACTTCTGGCCCATTCCTGTAAATTAGTCATCCACATCAATATGTATAGACATATATGTAGTATGCATAGCCACAACATAAATATATTTAACATTTAAGAAAATTTAGATATTCTACTGGTAAACTGACATATGTATGCAATATAACTTGTATTTAGTCACAGGAATTTTTTTTTTTTGTTGTTGTTCAAATGTACTGTTAGCTTGTTATTTCTTTCCCAAAGTTGTTAACAAGACTCCTTTATAAAGAAGCAACATGTTTTACTTGCACATACATTTTCTTTCTCTTTTGTCTTAACTAAAGTTGAGTCATAAAATTAATATTCACAAATAAATAACTAGATGGTGAATTTTTTCTTTTTTTTTTTTTTAAGCAATTTTGGTTTTCATCTGTATTTGTATAATTGTTTCATTGAAACTGTCTTTAAAAAAATTGGTTCAAGAGTTAAAGTTTTTTTTTCTAGTTAAAAATCACAATGTCTGCTATATTAACATATGTCAGCTTCCTACAGGAATCCTATGGGTCTGCCCACCTGTGATGTCATAGTAAGGAGGGGCTTTTCTTCTGCAGACTCCTCCCTCGGTATCTCCTTCATCACCATGGCAACAGCCTTATCGGCCGCCCTAGAGCCTTTTCCCTACAACAGTGAAATCAACAATGACTTGTGTCAGGAGAGATCTTTAATATTTATCACAAGATATTCTAATGTTTAAAGAGCAATCCAACATAAAGGAAGAGGCAGGCTGCTGCAAGTGAATCTTGAGGCTTTTGGCTGAGGAGAAAACACACAAAATCTGAAAAAAGATGACTGAACTTTTAGTTAGCTGCCTTTTCACCTTTACAGCTGACATATTACATTTAATTTTAACATAGTATTTTATATGTATAATATGTTTTAAGGAAATTAACATGACAACGTTTTTATAATACCAATTTAAAAACACTATGGGTTGCCTGTTATGTTCATTTATAAATTATTACTATGTAATCCCTATGTATTTTGACTGACAGGAGTTTGGGACAGAGACTAGAAGCAGGAACCAACTCCCACAGAGGGCTTTTGCGGGGTGATCTCTGGATCTTTGCCATTTTTGAGTGGATTGGAATAAAAAGAGTAAAAATGTTGTAAAATCTCTAAAAATACTTCAGTGGCTTGACATAGCAAGAATTCACCCGGCCTGTTTTCTGGAGATGGTATAAACTTGATGAAAAAAATTTGCAACTTTCAATGTTTGTGAGACCAAATAATTTTAATAGAATTTTAGAAATGTGTTTTTAACTGAAGAACCCCATAAATGCAGATGCCAATAAAGGATAATTAATACTGAGGCACTAATCTATCTCTCTCTATGTATCTATAGATACATATGTATATGTATATATAGAGATAATGCATACACATACATACCCCTATGTTATTTGTCTCAAAGAAGTAGAATTATAAACTGTAAAGGGATAGGCTGGTTTTCTGTTATTTGAGTTTAGCAGATTATTACATTTTTTGAGACTAGATATGATATAATGAGAAACACCCCCAAAAATATTACCTTTCCAAACCAACTAGAAAAATGTTATACTATGTAAAAATTAAATAATCCTTAAATGCTTCAAAAACAAAAAACTTCAATTTTCTCAGGTCTCTTGGTAGAGCCGCCCTGAAGAAAATAATTTTATACTAAGAACACGTATGAATAATTGTGTTGTAAATCTACTTAAAATACAAAGGTAGCAGACAGACCTGTCACAGGCAAAGAAACAAAAACGGACTTACGGGGTCTAATGCTGGAAAAGGGAATTAAGAGCCGGGGTCCATATTAACCCAGAGCTTAATAAAGCTTGATTGTTCCCATGCAACAAAAAAGGATACAGTTGCATCATTATCTTGTGTTTTCTAAGGGATTTAAGTGTATAGAAGGTAGGTTTACTCTAGGGATCAAAACATTGCCCATTTTCTCAGGCACTGACTTTCTAAAATGTAGCCAGAGGCAGCTTTTCTTTATTGAAACAAAGAAAAACTTTTTGTATAGTTAATAGATTTTTAAATGTGTTTTAAGTGAATTTGTTGACAATGGTGAAAGTTTGTTTCTTTGTTTTGCTTTGACTTTGTAACTAGCACTATTGAATTATAATGTGTTATTTCCAACATGGGCTATCAAATACTAGAGATTTCATTCAGCAGATATAGCAGTAGTAATTTTCATATATGTATGTGTTCTGTAAAGTTTATGTGGCCACAACTCATAGAATAACTGACTTCTGGAAGAATAAAGGAAAACTTGATTCACTGCGTAACAAACTGAGGTGCATAATGATTCCAGGTTTCTTCTTTAATGAAGCAATGTGAACTTCCTAAAATGGAGATACAAACAATTCTGAATTCTGGGGAAATATTTATGATGGTACTATTAACTTGTTTAACATTTTATCAAAATATAAAAATTATCAGGATGAAACATTGCACACTATAAGCTTAGTACATCTTTATAAGCTACACTCATTTACAGACTAAATATGATTTATACCAAATATTTTTGCAGCTTACGTTTTTCAAAAGAATAAAGTCATTTGTGAAGAATTCTTTCCATGCTTCAGTAAGTTCTAATAATATAGCAATAAACAAAGTGGCATGCTTATATTTCAATTCCTATTATGTTTAAAATAACAAATCTCATGTTACAAGGTATAATTTTATTTAAGAAAATAATAATTTAGATTCTTTTCTTGGGCTAAGAAAAAATGTCAATTGATAAGCATCTCAAAAAAATTTCAGGTCAATTTTTCTATACATGATTTGAAATGCTACCAATCCATAAACTACATAGAGTTTTTTTTTTTTTTTTTTTTTTTTTTTTACATGTGCAACTATAAGAGCTAGAATTAGCAAGGGACATGCCATTTCACTAAAACGAAAACAGAAACAAAACAAAAATCAGTCCTTTCATGCTGAACTCTAGAACAAAGCAGTGGTCAGCTGGAAAGGATGTACAATAAATACATGCGGTGCTTCGTATTTCTTGCAGAAAAAACCCACCAAAGCCAGGGTCAGGTCACTTTTTTGAAGACAGTGCCACTTTTTCTTCAAGGTTACACCTACTACCTGAAAAGAGTCACGACACACCCATGTTAGTGCCTGCCAGCAACGTTTTTCTTCACAGCCTTTTGGCTCTTCTTGAGATAACACCCCATAAGCCTCAGCGTCTTACAAGTGTGGTACAGTCTGAGGACAGAACGGGAAGATGTGCCACAATGACATCTCCATGGTACCAGATACAGTGGCTAAAACCACCGCTACATCAAGCGAATACTCCCATGTGTCAATGCACGATTTCCCCAAACCAAATGCCTCCTCCACCTGGTATCGTCAAATTGAGCTGTGTTATTTCTGGCTTGTCTACTTATCTCGCGGGATAATGCTTCCAGAAATCAGAAGCTGACTGATAACTGGCTTGGCAATTCATGAAACTTTACAGATTTGCTCTGCAGGGCTGATGGCAATTACACCTGTGCAAATTTCTTTCTTTTTTGAAGGCAGTAGCTTAAAACATTGTGAGATACCTATGTAACTGTTCAGACTTCAAGCTCAGTTTTCAACATAGAACCACACCAAAGGGTCACTTTTCATCTATTATGTGAGACAACATGAAGACAGCAAAAATAAAATATACACTGAATATGCAAGCACGTGAGCGGTTTATAAACATTCGATAACATTAAGTCTGTATGCTTCTACGCCACTCAGCAACAATGGAAAAGAACAGGGATATTTCAGAAGTTGATTATCACATTGTGGCATCCTCCAGCAATGATTTCAGCCTATTTCATTTCAAGTAATATTTCAAAATCACTTTTCCCCACTTCCTTGTTCAATTTCTTGAAATATTTTTGACTGGAAAAACAGTGTCAGCATTAAGGAGAAACTTATTTTTCTCGAGGCTTTCCTGTGGAAAATTATGTGATATTTCCATTTCTTCTGTCATTTGTTTCTTCACTTAGGAAAGAGAATGAATGACAGTTTTCCTAACAAGGAATAATTCTAGAGAATAATCTCTTTATTATGTTCAATGATAAGAGCAGGCACAAATGAATGAAACGCAGGGCATCTAGCAGTGCCGTTCACGTTCATTGAGAAATCCATCATGGCCCACTTCTTTCCTTTTTAAAATGGAGAACATTTTAAACATAATGAAACAGCATACACAATACGGGACATCACAGGACCCTCTCCGGCTGGACACCAGGCCGTGGAGCCACCAGCTGTCTTCAGATAAGAAGGTGTCGGGCCCGTGTCACAGGGAAGGGACTAAACTATTTCAAGAAGCCACCACATGCGGGACACTCTGCCAAATGTTTGACATAATTCCATTCGTCTGATCTCATGGTAACTCTGTGGGGTAGATATTATCTTCCGTATGGTGGAGGGCACTGAAGCCCAGAGACAGGTGTGATGTGGCCACAGCTTCAAAGCCATTCTGTGGCCGAGCCAGGACGGGGGCCAGCCCGGCTTCCCAGGCTGTCCTGCTCTGTCTCTACCACACTGGTGTCTGTGCACGTGGCCTGGGGGAGCTGCAGGCCTCAACCGCCTGGGCTCATGTCGGTGGTTCATGATCTCGCTGAAATTTGGGGCAGCAGTCACCTCCCACTACCATCACACACTCTGGCTCTAAGCACACATTCTCTGAGAGTCCTTCTTTCTCTGGTCTGGAATGGTCAGCAGCTGCACTCACAAGCGCGTTTCTAACAAAATGCTTTCGCTACTTTCATCTTCACAGAAAAGTAACCTAAGTATTTCATATACGTACAAACTTCTTTGTTATTCTGCAGATCTTAGTAGGTTCATAAGCTTTAGCACCTGTCGAATTCTTATTGAATGCTAACTAAATGCCATTAGCGGCCACCTTTACTAAGACTTGCCTGAGATCCGCTGTGGTGCATAAAATACTTAAAGTATGCAGTTCCACTTCCACAGGCCAGTGGTAAGCAATTTTCCAGTTGCAGATTCTATTACTGCTATCATGGAATTTGTAATTTAAAAATTATTTTCATTATTTTTAAACTATCAACAATTATCCAGAGTTTCTCTGTCAGAGATACTAAACAGAAGAAATTGAGATACGTTAGATTAGGGAAAAAGTAAAAGACTGTAATACCAGACATCTCTGCCAACCCCAAATCATCTCTAACATATGAATTTTTAAAATAGCCTTCCTTTTATTCTGATTATAAAAATTAATATACTATTGCCAAAAATGGATAAAAAACAGAGCTAAGAAAATAAAAGTAACAATCTTAGTATTTTCATGAATTTTAAAAAAATTTATTTTATTTTATAATACCAGCAATTAATTTTTTAGGTTGAATGTTTTAAGGATAGACATACTACTATAAAGTCTACAAGTATGAATATATTGAATGTATTTCTTTATATATACATACATGTAAACAAACTCCTGGTATCTATATATTTTTGTTTGTTTTTGAGACAGTGTCTTGCTCTGTCACCCAGGCTGGAGTGCAGTGGTGTGATCTTGGTTCACTACAGCCTCAACCTCCTGGGCTCAAGTGATCCTCCCACCTCAGCCTCCTAAGCAGCTGAGACTACAGGTGTGTGCCACCACACTCTGCTAATTAAAACTTTTTTTTTTTTTTTTTTTTTTTTAAGAAATGGAGACTCACTATGTTTCCTAGGTTGGTCTCAAACTCCTGGGTTCAAGCAATCTTCCTTCCCACCTTAGCCTCCCAAAGTTTCGGGATTACAGGTGTGAGTCACTGTACCTGGCACAGTTGTTAGTTTAGCGTATGCTAAAAAATTCTGGACCCTGGATGATTAGCACCTGCAAAACACTGCCCAGCAAAAGTGTAATTTTTGATGGCTGTTCTTGTCTTTCATGCACAGAAGCAGGATAACCTGCCTGCTTTCCCTTGGTGAGCTAAATGTCAGAGTAACGGTCAACTGTCATACTCTCTTCAAACTCCCAACACAGGAAAAGGTCAGGGCCATATTTTACAGTGTCCTTTCCCAGTAAAGTGTGCTCCCGTAGAATTCCTCCAGCACAGATCAGGGTTCAGGCCATCTTGGTTCTATCTTAACTATTTCCTTCCCAACAGAATGTTTTGTAAGTTTTAAAAGTGGTACCAATAGCTAAATCTTGACATACTGGTCAATCCTTGTTTCTAAACATTCTGAACGATGCATAGATCTAGGTATAAATCATTGGGAAGCATGGACAGAATGTGCTTTTCTTAAATAGAGATTCACCTGCGGAATTTACAGTCCACGATGAATTCACCATTGGTTCAGTGATCTGTTTGCAGCTGGAAAACGTGATTTACAATTCCTTCCTAAGGGTAGTCAAGTCGCAGCAAAGAAACTGGTGTCTATCTAAAGTAATGACACAGGACATTGAAAAGAAAGACTTCTGACCGACCCTGTATTTCCCTCTTACTGTCTCTTTTTCCCACCAGCATTGTTTTCTCCATGAGACAGGTGCACATTTCTTCAGCCCTCATCTTTTGCAGGAAGTCTTCCGGGATGAATGAGGAGTTACACTAATTACATTCTGTTATATAGCTCCTGTGCCTTCTGTCTATGTTATGTGCTAATTGGCACTACCTGTGTTACCGAGAATGTGATCAGGTGGGGGAAGGGGCAGGTGGGAGAACAACCTGGATACCGATCTCCACGGTCTTTGACTCTAAGCCTCCACTTAGGAACATTGCTGGGACCCCACGCCCACCAGACACATACTCCATTTCCTTGGTCTGAATGACTGGAGCAGCGTGAGATTATGACTTTCACAGGCCCTCGGCACTTTTGGCTTCATGCGATATTTCCTTAAAAAAATCATATTCTAGTGCTACATTGGTATAAAGACAAAAATAATCCAGACTGTATCTATTATTGCACATTAATTGTTAGAAAATAATCCATTTTGGGGGGGGGTTCTGATTTTAAGAGAGAGTGACGTTAAATCATTTTCATGGGTCCTTAAGAGCCCTGTGGGCCCTATGCACTGTGTCCACTCTGCCAAGTGGGTAAACTGGCCCTTCCCCTTCTGAGGGGGCGTCTCCTCAACAGTAGGTGTGCCATCCCGACGGCTGCCGTGCTGTCCCTGGTGTGACCGTCCTGGTGGTCTCGGGTGATCGATGCCACTTCCACATTCTGCATGGCCATGATGGCTGTTCCTGCCCTAACAGCCCCCTGGCTACTGCTGCTGGCCTCACTGTTTTTGTTAAGGGAGTCTTTCCTAACAGTACTCACAAGCCTTTGAAAAAAGATGTTTTCAAGTGACGAACAATGATTGCATGTGCTCAGACAAGCAGCTTTCATCTTGTCGTTCTTAAAACACGCTCTCTAAAAGCCTGGAGCATCTAGACCCTAGGCAGAAAGCACTGGCAAGTAATATCCATGGCTACTCTTAAGATGAAACCTCCCACCAGAAAACAGGCCTCAGCCTGCCTCAGAGTGGACTCCTGACCATCCAGGAGCACTTCTGAGGAAACTAAGTCAATCTATGTCCTTTTTTGTTGTTGTTAAAAAATTTAGTCTATTAGTCTTTAATAACCAGAGTCACTGATTGGCTCCAAAGTACTTCTTGCCATTTTTTTTTTTCCTGATTATGCAATTGGTCACTTGAGGAACAGACCTGCCCAATACCCAAAATTTCTGAGTTGTGCCTGCAGGCTAAGCTCCTCCTTGGGACCTTGTTATTACCTTATATCTTGTAAATAATCCCTTGGCTGTGTCTCACTAATAAAACTGCCTGGGAGAGCAAAGGTTGTGGGAATATCTTTTGAACCATTTCTGTCTTGTTGGGTATCAGTCCCTGTGGGCACAGAAACACTCAAGTGCACTCAACAAATATATGTCCTGGATATCAAATTATTTCATCCTGCAATCACATACGGTATGTGGCCAACTTTTACAGAAGGCGATTTTGAATTAGATGAAAAGTTTTAATTAGACTTTTTAGGAAATAAAATAGTTTCAAGCACCTAAATAAAAATTCATTACAAGTAATACGATGTTGCCAGGTAAAGATGCTTACAACTTGCCCTGAAGGACAGAGGAGGCTTTATTTTTAATTAGTAAGATCCATT